GCGCTGCGGAGGCCACCATCTTGCAATCACCCTTCGGCGCGAGGCGCTGTGGTTGCAGCCGTTAACTGGTGCGGTCTCGTCCTCATAGCTGCCGTGTGCGTCCACGTAGTTGGCGTACTGGCCGTACTTGGTGTTGTGTTGTTGAATATCGCTGTGCGTGCCGATGCTGGTAGTCGCGATTGCCCATAGAATGTCGGTGATGAGTGGCTGTCTATGAGTATATGTAGTGATAGCGTTCGTGATTAGCTGCGTCGTGCGCGTCATCATCTTGAGGTTGACAAAGTGTTCCAGCTCTGGTATTGCGAGCAGCCGTAAGTTGCTGTCGTCCATGACGAATGGTATATTGTATGCCGTGAATGCATCTGCGATGCTGATAATGTCGAAGATCAGATTCTGGCTGTCGAGGCGCATCTTTTCTTTGGACACCTTGCCTGCGCTCTGGCGCGGGTCGCGTGTCAGCTTGCTGGGGTCGGTTATGCCGGTTGTGATGTGTACTCCGATAGCACCGACGTCTCCGTTCCTGATCGATTGAAGCCACCAACTGTCGTTTTTTGTCGTTGGTCTTGTTGTCGCCATCGAAGTTGTCGCCAGAGTCAGTCGTGACAGAACTGGTGCATGTTGACATGTTGGCTCTTTTTGTTATGTGCTCTCGAGTTGTGACTGCATGTCGTCGTTGTGTCTCGCAGCGCCGGTGAATATGAGGATCCCTTTGTTTATGGAGTCGTGTCCAAACATGTTGAGTCCTTGTGGGTTCGTCTCTGTCTGTCGCTGGCGTCGTCCGTTGTTGGTGCTGTCTCTGTCGTGGCCAGCTTGCGGTTCCTTCTCTGGCGCAAGTATCGGTATCCTTGCGGCTCTGCTCTCGGGGTCCGCCTTCAGCTGTCCTCGTGGGGGCCTGTAGTTTCACGCAAGTCTTCTCGGCGTAGTCCTCGGGGAGACCTTTTGCCTTGCTGGTTCTTCGTATGCGTCTCATCTCGCGTCGGTTGGCTTCGATCTCCTCGTCGTCAGGTCCGCAGTAGACTTCATGTGTTTCAGAAGTCGGCTAGGGGCCCAGTACTCGTTCAAGCATACATAGCATACCGTCCCGACTGTCGTATTCGTGATGTCGTTCGTGGGACGATGTACTGCGTTGACGTGTTTCTGGTATGCTGCCTTTCCGTTGAGTGCTGCCCCACATTGATAGCACATGTATTGATTGTTCACGTCGGCCTCAGGCGACCTTTGCAGTGGATGGAGGCGTGTGCCCGTGCAAATTGCTTCGAGTGATCGTCTCCATGTAACTCGATGTGCTTCTTCGGCGGTCTCTGGTATCGATCTTCTGCATGCTTGGTTGAGGATGCTCTTGTATATCATGGGTCCGTCACGGGCCATCTTGATCCAGCTCGGGGTATCCCCAGGTGTGGGAGTTGTTTGTTGCGGGTCGACGGGTTCGCAGTTCCCGGTCATGTCGTTGATAAACGTTGTGCCCCACTCGATGGCATAGTCCCGCATGGCTTGTAATTTGCGAGGGTTGTGCACTAGTATGCGTGTGACTTCTGGTAGCCGAGCGCCACGTAGCCGTTGTGGTAGCAGCAGAAGATCAGCTTCGCCGATAATCCCTGTGCATGTGATGCGTTCTTCCTCCTCCTCCTCCTCCTCCTCCTCCTCCTCCTAGTCCTGCTCCTCCTCCACCTCCCCCACCTCCTCCTCCTCCTCGTCCTCCTCCTCCTCCTCCTCGTCCTCCTCCTCGTCCTCCTCCTAGTCCTCCTCCTCCTCCTCTTCCACCTCCTCCTTGCCATCCTCCTCCTCCTCCTCTCCCTACTCCTCCTTGTTATCCCCCGCCCGCCTCCTCTCGATGCGGCAAGATATATATATATATATATATATATATATATATATACATATATATATATATATTCTCATACGCACCTCTCCGAGGGAGTAGAGCTCAGAGGCGATTAATGCGCACGTCGTCCGCGATTTGTCTGGCCGTTTCGCTCGGGACATCCTCGATATTATGAAAATCGGTGGCACCCCTCACGCAGATCGTGACGTCAGGGTCCAAACACACATGGGAATTTCAACAGTCTAATATAAAACCTTCAAAAACACATGGTAATTTCAATAAGTTTGACCCCGATTCTCAGAGAATGGCGGTCTCGCATGAAAAATCCTACCAACATCGAGCCCCAGACCCCTCCTCGGAGCCTCCTGGGGGCCTCCTGGAACCTCCTGGCGCCTCCTGGGGCTTTCTGGACCTTCTGGTACCCCAGACCCCGCCTCGGAGCCTCCTGGAGTTATCCTGGGCCTGCTGAGGCCGCCTGGGGCCTCCTGGGGCCTCCTGGGGCTTCAGAACTACATGCACACACAGAGACACAAATCACGCCCAACACATCACACGCTAGACAAACATAACATACACACACACACACAACACCGACAACACACAAAAAGCACGCACCACACAAAGCACACATCACACACACACAACACTCACAATCCTGGGGCCTCCTGGAGCCTCTTCTGGTATCCAAGTCGGGCATCCTGAGGCTTCCTGGGGCACACATCGCCCTGGTACACACATCGCAAGGTGTGGCAACCCCACGTGCGCTCGAGTGCGACTTCGCTGTTGCATGTCACTCCTGCTTCAAACGCCCCTTCAACTTGTTGTATGAGCCTGGGCACACACGTGCCACTTGTGTATATATATATACATATATACATACATACATACATACATACATACATACATACATACATACAGACAGACAGACAGACAGACAGACATACATACAGACAGACAGACAGACAGACAGACAGACATATATATATATATATATATATATATATATCACGACGGGCAAGCTTGGCCACCTTCGGCCTCTGGGGGGCCCATCCTTGGGCCTCGGGGGCCGTGCAAGAAACGACTCGGGACGAAACGCTGGCCCCAAAGAGGATGAAGGGGCCCCAGGACACACACATAAACACACACACATGAAAAGATCCCCGATATGTTCCCCATAGTTTCTGGGCTTTGTCTTCCCCCCACTTCCCGTATTTTCCCCTATTTTCTGAGGAATCCAGGATGAATTGTGTCTGCGTGTTGTTTCCTCTCCTGAGAGGAGGGGCTCCGATCTTCGCGGGTCCACGCTGCGGAATCACCGCGACGCACTGGCGACGTCGGAACCCTGGGAGGCCCGACGCGGAGACGCAGCAGGTCCGCCGCCTGTGGAGCCGACGTCCTGGGGCCCGCGGGCGGACGGCGAACTGATGGGCACCTGTTTTGGCCCCGAGAGGGCCCGAGTGGATCCATGTGCACCGCAAGCCGCGGTACCCGAGGGTCGATCCCCCCAGGCGGTGACCATGGATGAACCCCCACCTCGGAGGAGGGACGCAGCGCCACCGTCACCGCCGCCACCGCCGCCACCGCCACCACCACCGCCACCACCACTGCCACCACCGCCGCCGCAGGCCCTCCCTCCGCCAGCCTGCGCCCCTGCCCCCTGGTGAGTTTTCACCGCCCGACCCGCGCACCCTCGCTGTTGTTTGCTGGTTTCTGCTCCACCGAGCGCTCCACCCGATCGCCAGATCCACATCGCGCGGAGGTGTGCGACCGCAGCAGTTCGGCGGGGATGCATCGCGCAGCCTTCCCCAGGACCCCCGTCCGCAGCATGCCCCGAACCGGCGCCGCGTTTTTGTTTGTGTGGTTCGCAGCGTGGGCGCTCAGATGCCGATCTGCAGTCCGCCGCTCTGACCAATGAGCTATGATGCGTCCCAGAAAGGACCTCGCCTTCGAGGACCCAAAGATCGGGGACGGACATAACCCCCTTTAGCAAAACGTGGTTCAGTGAAAACGACCTCGGGCCCACACCTGGCGGACGCAAGCCTGGAACATGACGACCGTGGCGCCTTCTCGAGAACCGAAAACGGACATTTCATTAATCGACGTGTCAGGGTGGGGGTTCTGTCCCCATTCCTCGGCAGCTGGCGGCGGAAGGCCGACGGCAGGCGGCGGAAAGCAAAGAAGACCCCAAAAGATGGCAACCTTTGTGGGCGGCGTGCAGCGGAGGTAGGGCGGGGTAGTTGAAGGGGGGAAGGCTTCTTAGAAGGGCGCTGGTTCCCAGAAGGCGTCGGCCCTGAATCTATACACAAGGCCCGCGCCTTCCAAAGAAGCATGGGTGCTTCTAAGAAGCCTTCCCCACCCCCTCTACCACCCCTTCTGCGCGTAGCCGGCTTGTTCGGTTCAGGGTTCCCAGCACCCCTCGTGTACCCACCTGCACGCCGCAGCGCAGTAATTGTTGTGCGCTCAGCCAGGGCAGACTCACGCCGTGGGGAAGCCGAGCCCTGAGCCTTCACTAAGCTGGCAGGCCGTGCCGCAGGCGGCCACTGCCCAATGGGAGCGGACAGGGACCAGCACCTCAACCCGAGCAACTGCTTGGCAACTGCTTGACAGCTCCGTGGACCGGTGAGGGCTCCCTGTGGAGTCTTGCTTCTCCAGACATCCGCCGATCTGTTATTTGCGCAGTCCACGGCCCACGAGGACACAGCGATCCCACGCGGTGGCCATTGCAGGCCGCCATTACAGCACACTGCTGCGTGGTATCGGAGATGCTAACGCGAGGCCTTAACGAGGGCACCTTATGCGCGAATGTGCGCGGGATCGATCCACTTGTTCTACGCAAATCACGCGTACAGATCACATCGGCGGCCCCTGCGAAACTAACTCCGCGCTGCCATCGATCTTCGATCAGATCGCCGCGCCGCTTCGACCATCGCCTGGTATCGACCAAACCTCTCCCGCGCCTGTATCCTGGCAACGAGACGCGGAGTACAAGCATGTCTCCCGACATAAGCGGCAGAGAAAACTACGCACATGCACCACCCACACTGGCCAAGCCCAGCCTGGGCCCCAGACCGGTGCGGCGATTGGAGACCTCCTCGCTCGGCCACGCACCGATCCCGAGCCCAGGATGGGCCTGGCCAGGACCGGTGCATGCGCACAGCTCTCTGCGCCCAGAGGGGTCCTGCGCTGCTTCTGCCCCGTGACCGCGCCCCCCGCGTCGGCGGGCGCGGCAGCCGCAGCCGGTGCAGGAGCGGCGCTGGCCACGGCAGCAGCTGCAGCGCCGCCCGTGCCAGCGCCAGCAGCAGCGGCGCCCAGGGGAGCGGCGACGGGCTGGTCCCTGTCCTCGCCAACAGGGGCAGGCCGGGTGAAGGGGCGGCCCGGGCCGGGCGGGGCACGGGGGGCATGTCCCGCACTTCATGTTGGTAACCCGAGCGGGTCATCCAGACACTGTAACTGTCGTCACTTTGGGGCTCCTCAGGCATGAATATGGAGGAAGTCTCAAGCGGGAACCTCGTTTGTGAGTGAATTGCGAGGAAGTCTCAGGCGGGAACCCCCTCCCTATGAGTCCCGCGCTTCATGTTGGTAATCCGAACGGGTCATCGGATTCCTGTAGCTCTCGTCACTTTTGGGCTCCTCAGGCTTGAGTATTGAGGAAGTCTCAGTCGGCAGCCTCGTCTGTGAGTGAATCGCGAGGCAGGGAGAGGCCGAGCGCCTCGAGGCAGGTCCTCGCAGAAATTGGGAACCCCCAAACCGGGTGGTGAGATACCAGGTGGCGACCTGGAATCCCCAAAAAGGTCACCGCTGGGTTTGGGGACGCGGGGTCACCGCCGGGTTTTGTGACTCCTGGACCCACCAGTGCCCGGGACATCCTCGGAAAACCGCACGAGTCCCCAAACCGGGTGGTGACACCAAATCGCCCGAGACTCACCGCCAGGTGTTGTCACCACCACGTTTGGGGATTACCAAGGGGCCCTTCCCGGGGTCCCTCCTGGGCAATTTTCCAGGGCGTGCCCACGTCGAGGGCCTGCCGGTCGGAGGGCTGGCAGGATGGATGGCGGGCTGCCTGGCCGGGGAAGCCGGAAGGAGTGCCTCCGAGTCCCAGGGATTTCGTAGTAGTCCTAGGGATCCCTAAAGAGTCCTAGGGATTCCTTAGGAGCCCCGGGGATCCCCAAAAGTTCCAATGTATTCTCAAGGATTCCTAAGGAGTCCCAGGGATTCCTAAAGAGTTCTAGGGATTCCTCAGGAGTCCCAGGGATTCCTTAGGATTCCTTGGGGTTCCTCAGGGGTTCCTTAGAAGAGAGGGGAGAAGATACCCACGTAAGCACCACGACAAGCGGGGCCTCTGTAGAGGACGCACCCAAGGAAACAATCAGACCAGATTGCTCAGTAGAGGCCAAGGACCGCGGCCACGAGGCGCCCTTGAAGGGGTCGGGGCGGTGTTTCCCTCGCTTGGTCCAAGGGGCCGTTCCCCCCCTCTTTCCCTGGGCCCTCGTCCTCGAGCGCGCCAGCCAAAGCGAAAGGAAGCAACCCGGCCAAAGCGAAATTAGCAACGTTCTCCTTGAGTCGAGAGAAAGCCCCTTCCCTTTGCTCGGGTCGGGCGAAAGGGGGGGATAGCAAAAGGGGGGTTTGAGAATCAGCTCACGTAGCTAATTTTCCCGGCGCCTCCGGGCGCCGGGCGCGACCATGTATCGAGGAATGGGCCCCTCGATGAGGCCGAAACCAGCTGCATGCAGTAAATTTCGTAACCCCCCCTTTCCCAATCCCCCCCTTTCGCCCGGCCCGACGGGTGGAGGGGGAGGGTCCCGGGGGGTTCCCGGGGCTGGTCCCGGGTCGAAATACCATCCCCGTTTGCGGCTCCTGCAGAGGGGCCCTCTGCAGATGCGCTGGAGGAGGGGCGGTCGCCACGACGGATCTGCCAGAGCGCGCCCCTGGACGGCCCAAGCAAGCCCCACAAAGACAGCCAAAGAACGCCTAAGGACGGCCAAAGGGAACCCTCAGACGGCCCAGAGAGACCATTCTCACGAATTTTCGGAATGTTTTGTCCCCGCCCTCTCCCTCCCATTTCCGTCGAGAGCCGAGGGCTCCGAAATGGTTGCTCCTACTCGCTTCCTCTCGCTGCTCCTCCACTCCTCCTCCTCCTCCTCCTCCTCCTCCTCCTCCTCCTCCTCCTCCTCCTCCTCCTCCGCCTCCTTCTCCTCCTCCTCCTCCGCATTCCTCTCGCTGCTCCCAAACTCCTCCTTCTTCTCCTCCTTCTCCTCCTTCTGCTGCTCCTCCTCATCCTTCCCCCCCCATCCTCCTCCCGCGTACGCCTCCTCCACCATTCCCCCCCACTCCTCCTCCTCCTCCGCCTCCTACCCTCCCCCGCTCTTCTTCATCTCCGTCGTCTTCAGGGTCGGCGGCACCGGCCGTCAGACCTTCGGGATAAAAAAATAGGCCAACAATATTCAAAAACGGTTGGACCATCGCAGCCAGACTGGACCAGCGCCAAAAACAGTATTCAAAAACGGTTGGACCATCGCATCCAACAATATTCAAAAACAATATTCAAAAACGGTGGAACAAAACAACAGCAAAGGACCATCGCCCCCAGACTATTAGGGGCGTGCCCGACTTCAACGATCTTCGCTGCGGCCGCCGTGGCCGCCTCGATCCGCCCTCGGTGCGCCCGCCGGCTGCACGCAAGAGTGACCTTTGGGCAAGAGCGACCTTTGGTGCGCGGCTTTTTGGGGGGCCGCAGGGGGACCCAACCTGGGCGCGCAAGCAGCTGCTGCTGCTGCTGCTGCTGCTGCTGCTGGTGCTGGTGCTGCTGCTGGTGGTGGTGGTGGTGGTGCTGCTGCTGCTGCGGCTGCTGCTTTGTTTTCAGCCATCTGGGGACCCCTCTGTGCCCGCACCAAAGGTCAAAGCGGGAGAGAGAGGAGCCGCCGCACGAGGATGGCTCGCGGCCTTCAGGCGGCCGCTCTTGACGGACATCTGGGAGAACACCTCGTCGGTCCCAACATCCGTCGTCTTCGCCGCCCTCCCGGTCCTCTCCCTCCCAATACTCCTACTCATCCGCTTCTCCACCTCCACCTCCTCCTCCTCCTCCTTCTCGTCCACCTCCCCCCCCCTTCCTCCACATCCTTCTGCTCGACACCTCTTCCTCAACCGCTACCGTGCCGCGAGGCAACGAGTGGAGTGTCCTCAGGTCCCTTCGACTTCTCTGTATTGCCCGTTGAAGATGCTGCGAGGGAGCCTGGACCCGCCAACTCTGGGCGGGCTCGGCCGCTCCTAGGGTGTTCCGCGCGGTTCTCGCCGACGTCAGCCAGCACTGACCAACCTTATGATGAGTTTCAACGTCTTTCGGCCCTAGATGGGGGAGCACGAACTGGCCCCACGAGCACTATTGTGTTAAAATGGCCCCCGCGATCGCCAAGAGCCCCCCCCCAAAGAGGGCCAAATGGGCGCCCAAGAGGCCCCGATGGGGTCCCCGAGGTGCTGCCAAGGGGCCCCGAGGAGGTGCTGAAGGGGTCTCCCAAAGGCCCTCCGAGGCAGTCCATGATCATTACAAGACACACCCTCCTCCTCCTCCTCCTCCTCCTCCTCCTCCTCCTCCTCCTCCTCCTCCTCCTCCTCCTCCTCCTCCTCCTCCTCCTCCTGTCTCCTCCTCTGTGAGAGGCATGCGGCTTCGAGATGGGCCGAGGGCCACTACATCCACCGCCCTCTTTAGCTCGCTCGGTGGGCCCTTCCAGCAGGTTTCCAACCCTGGGAACTCGACGAAAGGAAACCTCTGTAAACGGAAGAGTCCTCTGGATTCCTGGGGAGGCCTCTTGAATCCGAGGGAATGCTCGAAATTCGAGGGGAATCCGCTGGGATCTGCAAGAGTTCGCTTGAACCCTATGGAATCAAATCGAATATTCTGGAATCCACGCAGTGGCACTCTCCTGGAATCCAGAAGGATTCCCTTGGAAGGACCTTGGATTCAAAAGGACCCCGTTGGATTTGAACGGATTTCTCCAGAAGCCTCAAGATCCGTGAGGACTTCTGACACATCTTGAGGGATCGGATCTTGAAGAGTTGTCAAAACCAAACTCCTGGGGAACCGAGAGCATACCACAACAATACTTGGGAACCCTGTGGGATCCTAGGAAAGCGATCCTCAGGAATCTGGCTGAATCCTAGAAAGCATCTTGAGGAATCCAAGGGCGTCCCAAAGAGAACCCCGCGGATTTCAAGGAAATCCTGAGGAATCCCTGGGGATCCTCCAGACCCTGGGAAATCCGAACGACTCCTGAAGCTTCCTTGGGGATCCCGGTAATTCCTGGAGCATCCAAGGGAGACCACAGACACCCCTGGGAACCCGGAGGAGCCCAACAAATAATCAAATGGAATCTTCGAGAACCCTACGAGATCCGACACCCTGGGCAGATGCTTCACCCCATCATCAGGAGGCTCGTGCAACCCAGCCAAATGCGGGGCATAAGTACATCAGGATTGCTACAACGGGGGCGATGACGTAACATGGACGCATGAGGTTTTGCGAGCAGCAATCGGAAGGCTCGCATGCCCCCGATCAGAATATAAGGGCGTCGTGGTGGTTACTGACGAAGACCCCCCCAGGGACGGCGAGGTCTCGCTCGGGTCCCTTCGGTGCCTCACTCCGCTGGACCCACCGGCAGCCCTCGAAAGTGGCGACAGTGTCGCAGATCGCAGTCGCCCCAAGGACGGCGAGGTCTCTCAAGGTCCCTTCGGTGCCTCACTCCGCTGGACCCAGCAGCAGCCCTCGAAAGTGGCGACAGCGTGGCAGATCGCAGCCCCTCAGGGACGGCGAGGTCTCGCCCAGGTCCCCGCGGTGCCTCACTCCGCTGGGCCCAACAGCAGCCCTCGAAAGCGGCGACAGTGTCGCAGATCGCAGCCCCACCCAGGGACGGCGAGGCCTTGCTCAGGTCCCCGCGGTGCCTCACTCCGCTGGACCCACCAGCAGCCCTCGAAAGTGGCGACAGTGTCACAGATCGCAGCCACCCAGGGACGGCGAGGTCTCGCTCAGGTACCCGCGGTGCCTTACTCCGCTGGACCCAGCAGCAGCCCTCGAAAGTGGCGACAGCGTGGCAGATCGCAGCCCCACCCAGGGACGGCGAGGTCTCGCTCAGGTCCCCGCGGTGCCTCACTCCGCTGGACCCACCAGCAGCCCTCGAAAGTGGCGACAGCCCCCCCCCCAGGGACGGCCTCCCCAGCAGCCCTCGAAAGTGGCGACAGCTTCGCGGATCGCAGCCCTCCAGGGATGACGAGGTCCGCACACAGCAAGAGGAGACAAGAGGGGAGCGGGAGACCGGAGGCGGGAGGAGGAGGAGAAAGACTGGAGACCGCAGTGCTCTATTCAAAACGAATATCCAACCAAGAAGGGTTGGGACAAATAGTCAAGAAATACCCCCCCAAATTACCCTGTGACGTACCCAACCCTTTCTATACATGTGGCGATTATACTCAGGACCACTCAATGCTGACTGGCATTCTGAAGGACCCGCAGTGCACAAGAAGAGCACCCAGCAGTGATTTCAGAAGAGCGCAGCAAGAAGAGGAACGGCAACTATACAAAATGGAAACACAGGGGCGTTGAAAGAAACGCGTTTGACGTACCTCCGAATGATCCACGTGGGACGTACCTCCGCTGGGCCTCCCAGGCGCCCACGAAAGTGGCGACAGTTGCGCAGATCGCAAGCCCCCAGGGGGCGGCGAGGTCCCGAGGTGATCCGCGTGGGACCCACCTCCGCTGGGCCTCCCAGGAGCCGACGAAAGTGGCGACAGTTGCGCAGATCGCAAGCCTTCCAGGGGGCGGCGAGGTCCCGAGGCGATCCGCGTGGGACCCACCTCTGGTGTGCCTCCCAGGAGCCCACGAAAAGTGGCGACAACTGCGCAGATCGCAAGCCCCCCAGGGGGCGGCGAGGTCCCGAGGTGATCCGCGTGGCACCCACCTCCGCTGGGCCTCCCAGGAGCCCACAGGAGTGGCGACAAAGGCGCAGATCGCAAGCCCCCCAGGGGGCGGCGAGGTCCCGAGGTGATCCGCGTGGCACCCACCTCCGCTGGGCCTCCCAGGAGCCCACGAAAGTGGCGACAGTTGCGCAGATCGCAAGCCCCCCAGAGGGCGGCGAGGTCCCGAGGTGATCCGCGTGGCACCCACCTCCGCTGGGCTCCCAGGAGCCCACGAAAGTGGCGACCCAGATCGCAAGCCCACGAAAGTGGCGACAATTGCGCAGATCGCAAGCCCCCCAGAGGGCGGCGAGGTCCCGAGGTGATCCGCGTGGCACCCACCTCCGCTGGGCCTCCCAGGAGCCCACGAAAGTGGTGACAGTTGCGCAGATCGCAAGCCCTCCAGGGGGCGGCGAAGTCACGAGGTGATCCGCGTGGGACCCACCTCTGGTGTGCCTCCCAGGAGCCCACGAAAATGGGCGACAACTGCGCAGATCGCAAGCCCCCAGGGGGCGGCGAGGTCCCGATTTGATCCGCGTGGGACCCACCTGCGCTGGGCCTCCTAGGAGCCCACGAAAGTGACGACAATTGCGCAGATCGCAAGCCCCCCAGGGGGCGGCGAGGTCCCGAGGTGATCCGCGTGGGACCCACCTCCGCTGGGCCTCCCAGAAGCCCACGACAGTGGCGACAGTTGCGCAGATCGCAAGCCCTCCAGGGGGCGGCGAGGTCCCGAGGTGATCCGCGTGGGACCCACCTCCGCTGGGCCTCCCAGGAGCCCACAAACGCGGCGATAGTTGCGCAGATCGCAAGCCCCCCAGGGGGCGGCGAGGTCTCGAGGTGATCCGCGTGGGACCCACCTCCGCTGAGCCCACGAAAGTGGCGACGGTCGCGCAGATCGCAAGCCCCCCAGGGGGCGGCGAGGTCCCGAGGTGATCCGCGTGGGACCCACCTCCGCTGGGCCTCCCAGAAGCCCACGACAGTGGCGACAGTTGCGCAGATCGCAAGCCCTCCAGGGGGCGGCGAGGTCCCGAGGTGATCCGCGTGGGACCCACCTCCGCTGGGCCTCCCAGGAGCCCACAAACGCGGCGATAGTTGCGCAGATCGCAAGCCCCCCAGGGGGCGGCGAGGTCTCGAGGTGATCCGCGTGGGACCCACCTCCGCTGAGCCCACGAAAGTGGCGACGGTCGCGCAGATCGCAAGCCCCCCAGGGGGCGGCGAGGTCCCGAGGTGATCCGCGTGGGACCCACCTGCGCTGGGCCTCCCAGGGCCTCCTAGGAGCCCACGAAAGTGGCGACAATTGCACGTCCGTTTCCCTGTGCCCCGCATCATCGCCTCGGCGTGCGGTGGGGACAGGAGGAGGGCGAGGAGGGGGTCGAGGAGGAGGAGGAGGAGCGAGGAGAGGGAGTCGAGCCGTGGCGACGAAGGGCTCTCCAGGACTGGCAACATCGGCATCTCTTCCTCCCGGCGTGCGGTCGGGGCAAATCCGGGCAGCGGCCCGACAACCCGGGGCCTTGCGAGAAGGTGTGGCTTAGGCGGAGGCATCTCGTCACATGACGAGACGTGCCTTCCTCCTCATCTGCTTCTCCCTCTTCTGCCTCCTCCTCCTCGTCCTCCACATTCACATGCGCATCACCACCACCATCACCATCACCATCACCATCACCATCACCATCACCATCACCATCACCATCATCATCATCATCATCATCATCATCATCATCATCAGCAGCAGCAGCAGCAGCATCATACTCATAATCAGCATCAGCATCAACATCATCATCAGCATCAGCATCAGCATCACCATCACCATCATCATCAGCATCATCATCATCATCATCATCATCATCATCATCAGCGGGATCATCATCGGGGTCATCATCATCATGATCATGAACGTCGTCATCATCGTCATCGTCTTCAACATCATCATTACCATCAGCATCATAATCACCGTCACCAGCATCATCAGCATCTTCATCATCATAACCATCATCAGCATCGGCATCATCATGATTACCATTACCATCACCAACATCATCATCATCATCACCATCAACATCATCATAACCATCAACATCATCATCAACATCATCATTGTCATCACCGTCAGCCATCATCGTCCTCATCATCGCATCACCGTCGTCGTCGTTGTCGTCATTGCCGCCCTCATCATCATGACCATCAACATAATCAACATCGTCATCGTCACCATAATGTCCATCATCATAATCATGATGCTCGTGCTCATCCTCCTCATCATCCTTGTCCCCATCATCCACATCATCATCACCTCACCATCATATTACAAGTCCTCATCATCATCACCATCGTCATCGTTACCACAATCACCAGTACCATCATCAGCAATACCATAATCATCATCATCATCGTCATCATCATCATCAGCTGCAGCAGCAGCATCATCATCAGCATCATCCCCATCCTCATGCTCAGCCGCCTCGCCATCATCATCAGCAGCGCCATCAGCATCATCATCAGCACCATCAGCCTCATCATCCTCATCCTCATCCTCATCCTCATCCCCGTCCTCGTCCTCGTCCTCATCCTCACCATCAGCAGCAGCAGCATCATCATCCCCTCCTCCTACCCCTCGTCAGATCCGCACCACGTGACGGCTCCAAACGGCCGATCAAAGCGGCCTCCGCGGACCCCTCCCAGCTCGACACCCGCGGCCCGCACACCCGTGGACGCTCCGCCCCGCACCGACAGCTTCAGCGCCAGCGCCGGGGAATCGGGCTCGGCCGGCCGCTGCCGCAGCAACTGGCGCGGGCTGCGCCCCAGAAGGGGAGGGGGGGGGGGAGAGAGGTACAGTCGGGGCGTTGACCTAAGGAACCCTAAATATAAGGAGCGAGGCCCCTTTCTTCCAGAAGTCAAACTTCGGTGTCCTATCGAAGGCACAAGGAAAACCTGAGGCAAGCTGTGAAACACTTAAGGAACTCAGAGCCCCTCCCCAACGAAAGGGTTCCTTCTTCAGGACCCCGACTGTAGCACGGGGAAGTGGAACAAGCGGGAGGGGCCAATGACAGAGCAGAGCGTGCGCAGAGGAGCGAAGCACGAAACATGCGTACCAGCGCGGGCCCGAAGAAGTGGGCTCTTGCACGCAGGGGGTGCAATCAAGGTCTGTGGCGCACACTATGTGGTGTAAGCCATGCGCGGTGCAAGCAATGCGGTGCAGCCAACGTGTATTCCAAGCTACGTGGTGCACACGATATGGTGCAAGCAATACGGCACAAACCCTGTGGTGCAAGCTATATGTTAGATGGTGCAATGCAGGTATGGTGTAGGCTATGTGGTCAACGCTGTGTGGAGCAAGCTTTGCTATGTCGGCACTGGAATGCAGACAAAGTGGGGTGGGCTGTGTGGCTCAAGCTGTATAGCGCAAGCAACGCCAGGCGCCCACAAAGAGCCCACGGCACCCCACCAGACGAAATCGCGATACATCCAGCCATCGCAAGAAGGCCTGAATACGACCCAGAAAGCCCCGCAATGTCCCAATGATCCTCCAATCTGTCCTCAAGACAAACCAAGAGGGCCCCCGAGGACCCAAAGACGGCCAACGAGATCTCCAAGACGGCCCAGGGGAGCTTCAAGACGGCCCAAGAGGCCGTCTTGAAGCTCCCATTGAACATAACGCGGAATTGTGTATGTCTCATGCCGAGGCTGTCCCAAGCCATGGGGGACAAGCAAACACATGTTACAGCCCCCATGTGCGCCACTGGAACGGTCGCCGCCGGAGGTGACGGGCTCGCACGCTGCGGGACTTGCCGCGGGCAGCTGGGTAAAAATGACATGTCCGATTCCTCCAATGAATCCAATTGAACTGAAAGAAACCCAACCGACCCCGAAAGGACACAAACAAGTGGCACATACATGACAACGGTTCAAAATAGCAGGGCCTCCCACATCAAAGCGACTCAAAGGCAGAATGAACGAAAATGAAAGATTTCCTCCGGACTCGTCGAGCTTCTTCAGGAACCACCCGGATTGCTCCAGAACTGCATCGGGATCCACAGGAGTAGCCCGAAGGACGCAACTGCGGTGCTAGAGTTACGCGGCGCGGGACCGAAAACATTGTCGAATTGCCGGAAGGGGCGGGGGGGACCAATTGTGAATCGTTCACCAGGGTTATAGCTTCGCCCGGCGATTGCACAGTCCTACATATGTGGATATATGAATATGTATGTGTGTATATATATATGTAAGCATGCATATAAATATATATACATACATACATACATATATATATATACATATATATACATACACATATATTTGTATATATATATGTGTGCACACATACACATATACGCATATCTATATGTACACATACATACAATACATATAGAGATATCTCGCTCGCGCACCTTCTTTTCCAGGCGCGCTGCACCAACAGTGTCTGCAGCGAGGCGCGGCTAATTAGGAAGACGCTTCGGGTCAAGCTTCGAAGCCGCTGCCAAGCGAGGCTGGTCTCGCAGCCTTCACTACTAAGTGGCGCAGCCGAGGACCGTAACCACTCACCCCGTGGCAGGCCGGCAACCCCAAACCATTCACTGCCTGAGTGAAGTCGAAGGCGAAGATCACCACGTGGACCACCACCTGCAAGGGCACCTGACAATCTCCGCACTTTCAGCGGCAACTTCAGCAGAACCAATGCGGCCGCGCTGTTTCAATGTACGTTCGTGCTGTGCGCGGGTTCTCCCAGCGGCCTCGTGCAATCGTCGCGTCCATGCTCTGGACCTTTGTGAAGTACGACGGGGTACCCCCCTCCGTTAGGGGGTGCGATTGGAACCTTACGTGTTGGAACGCATTCGGGAACAGGGGGGGAACAAAAAAAAACTAAACAAAACTATGGCGGACGATGGAGTCGTCGTCGGAAAGGGCCCACGTGACCCGCGGCAGCAAGGTCAGAACGACGCGGTCCACAACGCGCACTGCCTCCCAGGCCCTCTTTCTTTCTCCCTGCAGTCTTGGTCGACTCCAGTGCGAAGAAGACTGTGTTTGACTCTAGGGAAAGCCGGGGATCCGAGCGACAGAAGCTCGGGAGTTCGAAGCAATGCCGTTAACCCAACCAAAAGCCCTGCGGCCAGCCTCAAACCTCCCGCCTGGGCGGTGGCGGAGACCAGAGCAGCCGCAATATGCCTTGGGAGCGGCGTGGCTCTGGTGTGCACGACTGTCGATTTTCAACTGTTGTAGAACTGCCAACTCGTGTTGAGGTGGTGCTAGCATTTCGGGAAGAAGCGCTGCAAACCGCTCAGGAAGTGGCCGCGGAAGCCGATGGGCTCACCTTCCTGCTAACATTTGTTGATAAACTCTGACACGATGCCATCGACATCCAACAGCGAAGTGGGCAAGGACAGGGACCCGGCTTGCAGGAAAACGAAGATGGCGTTGACAGCTCGGCGGCATATACCTGGAGCGCGCGCGGAGCGGTGCCGACGCGGCGCATATGCTGGCGAACCGGCCCTCCAGGGTTACGGACGCGACGGCCCTGCTGACGAAGCACCGGCACTCCTTGAGGCAAAGCCGCTAAAGTTCCACGCTGGAACCGCCGAGGCATGAAAAGGGCAATCATCGCACGCAAGTGACACCGCCATGCGTTTACGGAACACGAGGTTCAGCCGCTTGGAAGAAGGAAGGCCTTTGGCAAGCACGCCCGCCACGACCAACAATACCAGGATGTGCAGGTAGCGCCGGGATTGGTACATGATTCATGGTTGAGCTGTGCACGCCGCTTCAACCGGGTCACCGCAGCGTGCGCCTCCAGGATGTCGATGCGTCGTTCGCGCTGCCATCGCCGCGACAGCGCGGCCTGCCACTCCCGCTCGAAAGCGGGGCGCGGCGCCCTAGCAATGGGGGGGGGGGAGTGCCCTCCGCGATGGCCATCGCGCCCGTGCCCCGGTGGTCGCACTTGCGGACCGTGCGCTTCAGATGCTCGATCCCCCTGCCCGGGGCCGCGGCGGCCTCGAGCTCGCGCTGCGAGGCGCCCTCTTCGACGAACATCATCACTGCTCGGGCGAGCCGGGCTCGCAGGCCCCCCCATGGGCGGCGCGGCGGGCCCCGGCGGTGCGCCGGCGACAACCTTCGCATGCTTCTGGCACAACGCACCCGGGCACTCGTAGAAGGGGCGCGGGCCCCGGGGCGGGCCCAGAGGGGCAGGGGCAGGGCCCGCCCCGATGGAGCGCGGCGTGGATCTTACCGCAGTTGCAGGCGAGGCAAGTGGGCCCCCGCGCGCCCCTGAATCAACGGCAGGAGAGCTCGGTGTAACATAGCCCCTCCTTCTCCTCGAGCTCCTTGGCCTGCGCGAACTCTCAGAGTCAGCTGTCGCGCGGGTTCCTGATGCGCCAGTGCACCCCCTGCCCGTGGCGCCCCCAAGCGCGCGCGAGGGCCGTTTTGCCTATCGCGCTGCGCCGCCGCACCACGAACGCGAGAGCGCGCGGGGGCCCGGGGGCCCTCGCAACGCGCCCGGCGTTCCGCGCCTGGCCTGGCCCGGGAGCCCTCGACAAGCAGCGCCACTCACGGGCAAAATGCCCCCAGTCTCGGCCTGCGCGCCGGCCGCGATCTCCCAGCCCACCTGGGAGAAGAAGAAGTCGCGGCGCATGGCGTCGTCGAAGGGCCTCTGCGCGGGGATGCCCCGCTGCGCCAGTGCCCGCGCCAGGGGGGCGCGAAGGCAGGGGGGCCGCTCTGCGATGCGCGGGCGGCGCCCCCGCTCCCCGCAGCTCTCTCGGCGGTCTGCCGCGCCGCGGGGGTCGCCGATCTCGGCGCCGCAAGGGGCCGGCATAGGGCCCTCGCCGGACTGGCGGTAGTTGGGCTGGCGAGTTGAGCCCTCGGTAGCAAACGGCCGGAAATCATCGCGACCGCAACTCCGCCGCCGGCGAGCGACTCGCCCGACCGCGAGACAATCCCGTCGAGCGCGGCGCGCGCGTTGGCGAGGGCGAGCGGGACGCGGACCCGCTCGATGGTGACAGACAAGACCTCGCCGAACGCGTCGTCCTTCGGCGCCGCCGCCCGAGCCCCCAGCAACCTGATCTGCCAGGGCACCTCCTGCAGCACCGCGTAGAGCGACCTCGGCAGCACCGCCGTGTTCAGCGGGGGGGCGAGCTCGGAGCCCGCGCTGACGAAGCGGGCGCGCTCCTCCGCCGCCCCCGCATCTGAGCCTCGGCGGGTGATCGATCGACAACCCAGAGTCGGTCGCTCAAGTCGGGGCAAAGGATGGACAGGTCGCCCCGCGGAGGTAGGCCCCTGCGCGTTTTCACCTCGGTGGAGGGGGGGGCCCGCGCGAGCCCGAACACCAGACGTCGGACAAACGACTGCGTGACTGCGACGGCGCTGTCCCGAACCGCGGGCGCGACGCACAAAGCGGGGCGCGCCCGCTCTCTCTCCGGCAGGCCCATAGCGCTTCCAGGCGCAACTTTCTCGTGGCTGAAAAAAACCCGAGCCGCGAGTCGGGCAGGGGGAAAATGTTGCAGCAGCTCTCCAAGTCCTCGGAGTCGGGGAGGACCTCTTCTCCCTCCTCCAAACGAGGGGGGGCCATCGCCTGCCCCGCTCGCGGCAACGTGTCGCCGCCCCCCGCGACGAGAGTCAGGCGCTCGTTGGAAGGGAAGAATATGACGATGAAGCGGAGGAGGCCCCGTCGATCTCCACCCCTGTACCTGGCCACGCCGCGGGCCCCGCGGTGCGTGGGCTGGCCGTCGACGCCGCGGAACGGGCCCCCCCCCGCCGGCTTCGTCGCGCCCCTCTGGAAAGCCGCCGCCACCAACTCC